GTCTATATTCCCATCGTGATATAGCAATTGTGAAGAGATTCAATAAAACTCTAGTAGAGATTCTTTATAAGATCTAATATGCCATTGAAAGTATATTCTTAGACACTAAATTAATGAGAGTCTGGATTAAGAATTTATCCAAAGTAATAGATCATCTTAATAATTATCCTACGTGCCTCATTAGAGCTCCTGGATCATTGAAGTGGGAGCTAGCACCAATAAAAGCAATCAAGTTGGAAAAGGTCAAATCTAAATCATTGATATCGTAAAAGCGAGCTATTGAAAAGAATGAGGAAAAATTGAAGAAAGGTGATATGGTTTACTATCTTCTAGCTAATATAGAATGGGAAGATGATTTGGAGAATCAGAAAAGAGCCACGGATCTCACATTCTCACCTACTCATTATCCAATCATAAAAGTTGTAATACCAAAAAATGAGCCAGTTTTATACTATTTGAGTGGTGAGCACAGTCCTTCTAGGGTATTTGTGAGAGAAGAGCTCTTACACGTGAATACTGATATACTTCAACTTCCACCCCAAAGTATATTATCAGAAAATTAATGTACTGGATTAGTTTACTTTATTCATATTACTAATAATGAATTTGACAAAGTACAGTAATATGCTAAAAAGCATGATGAGACTTGTATTATGAAAACTAGATGGATAAATAGTGTAAATATATATCTTTGGTCATGTGAAAATAGACTCCATCTGTAGGAAGCACCTTATAAGATCCAAAAGCATAAATTTGAGTGGTGTCCCCTTTGCCATCATTATACAGATGAGAGATGGTATAAGTATATTTTTGAAGATCTACTGGGTAAGAAATTTCCACCATGTGTACTAGAGATGGGAGTCGCAACTAGTCACAACTCTGTTGCAATTTTCTGATTGGCTGCCGTAACTCTGTCGCAATTCTCTGATTGGCTGCCGCAAGTCGCAATTAGTTGAGGAGCCATCTTTAATATGTATCAAAATTTTTAGATGGTTTATGACTCAATAGGTATAATAAGAAATTAAAATTGGCATTCGAATTTCAAGAATCTCAATATTTTCATCAGAATTTGATGTTCCATAAAAATTCAAATAATCTAGATTCACAAAGGGAGCAAGATCAAAAAAAGTGAAATATATGTAAAAGAGAGGGTATAGATCTTATTGAAATACCATATGATGCTGATTTACTTTCCCATATTCAAAATACTTTAATCAAAAAAGGTTATTTATCACATAAAGAATAAACTCATAAGATAAGTATGATATATAATAAACTTCATCCACTTGTCTTGCCTAAAATATTAACTGATATTTTCTTGTATTTAGCTGAAGAAAAAGCACTATACCTGATCTTATTTGTTAATCAGTTATGGTATTTATACTCTGCTCTAATATTATGGAGAAAGGCTGAATTTACTGGTAATCTAAAAAAATTATGTATATTGTGGAGTAAATTTAAAAAAGTAATGTGTGGGAAACATAAACCATATGCTTCATATTTACTTCAACTTCATCTATCTAGTTGCAAGATCTCTAGTAATATGCTATATGAGATCATTAAATCCTGTCCCAATTTATGCCATCTAAAGATTCAAGAATATCATGGTTTATCTAATAAAGTTATTAGTAAAATCATATAAATTTGTCATCTGGAATCTCTTAATGTAACACGTATTATAGAAAATATAAAATGATGTGACAAATACAAAAATATGAAGGATATAACTTTATGTAAAATCGCAAATTTATCTTCAAATCTACAATACCTAAAACTTGGATCTTCTAAGCTATCTGATATATCATTGAAAGAAGTTGCTCACTCATACATTAATTTATGCCACTTCAAATTGGATTATAATGAGAAAATTACTGATATATCTATAATTGAGATTACCAAATCATGTCCAAAACTTCACAGTCTAAGCTTAATTGATTATCAAAAAATAACTGATTATAAGATGTGCGCAATTACTTCAGCACATCCAAATATGCAAAAATATGAGTTGATAAATTGTGAAGGGATTACTGATATATCAATTAAAAAAATCACACAATCTAATCTGAATCTTAGATATCTTAATCTTAATAGATATGAACTCATATCTAATGAGTCTATTTGTAAGATAGTATAGCTTTGCCCTAATCTTGAAGATTTCTAACTTAAATATTGTGATATTAGTGATGTATCTATATCCATATTAACAAATTTGTATAATCTCCAGAAGTTTGTCATTAAGGGTTGCGAAAAAATTAGTACAAATATAATTACAACCTTACAGAGTAAAAATCCTACTCTTGATATTATTGGTTGATATTCAGATATAAATAATGGGTCAGATACAGATACCTAATCTGTGACTATCTTTGGTATTTCATTAGAATAAAAATCCAGTATATAACAATAAAAATCATTATTTTTTGATATTATAGTGAAGCTAGTGTCAAGACACATAATTAGTATTACTTATCTTAATTAGAATGAAAGAGAAAAATATGCCTATAATTATATATAATATCGATAAGACATCTAACAAATTCTCAGAATGAATAAAAGATAATAAGTACTTACCAGATACCCTATTCAGATTACTGGTATGCGGAGATTCTCATAGCAGAAAAACTAATATGGTTATAAATCTTATGCTTGGTAACAAATTACAATGCATGTTCAATAGGAAAAAAGGTAAGCAGTATATTAGAAATGATGACCTTGTATTAATAGACAAGCATTTTGAGTCAAAATGGTAACTTATACAAAATAGCTATTAGATTTTCGCAAATATTCCAAAATCATATCAAGAGAATGTTATATTTAAAAGGTTATCTTCAGATAAAATCCCAGATATCACTAAATTCTTACCAGAGTGAAGTACAGTTATTGTGTTTGAGGATCTATGTGCTGAACCAAAGAAAGTGCAAGAACAAATTATTTCTTACTTTATTAGTGGCTGGCATTAAAATATCTTACCTATATATGTGAGCCAGAAATATACACAAACTTCTAAAATCATTTGTGAGAATTTAAGCCATCTTGTATTATTTAATAATGGGGGAAGCCAAGAAGATCTTGTTCATATCCTATATCAATTTATGGATGATCCAAAAAAAGCATTCAAGATTATTGATAAGCATTTGTGAAATTGAAATTTTATAGTTTTTAATTTCACTAAACCAACTGATGATCCTTTAAGTATACATTTTGGTTGGGATACCCCTTTGAATCTTTCTAATGAATAGGATGGGATTTCAGAGATGCAAGAAATTTTTCTGCCTCTTGTAATTCTATCTTCTTTTCTTTAACCTCACATCGCAATTTCTTATTAGTATTAACCCGCTCCTCATGCTGTTTAGTGATTTCTTGCATAAAAGAGTCAAAAGTTTTTTCATTGTATTCAAGCAATTGTCAAAATAAATTATCTAACTCTTTCTTGATCTGGTAATTGATCTCCTCCTTATGATTACAAATCAGAATAGTATCTTGGGTTTGAGTTTCTTGATCAGGTATATCTATATCATATAAGGAATTTTTCAATAGAGACCAGCTTTTTTGTTGGTACTTTAATTTTTTCTGATATCTATTAACTTCATGTCTTAAAAATGATTCGACTAATAGATTCACTGCACTAGCTTCATCCTTTGTCATTGGATTCCTCTTCCAAGATAATAAATGAGTCCAAGCTTCATTAACTAAAGATGATGGTAATTTATTAATCAAACCTGAATATGCTTTATTGAATTTCATAATATATAGTATCGAGAAACTAATATTATATTTTACAGTGTAAAAAAAAATGGAATTTTCATGAAAAATATGAAACATATATCAAGAAAAAAATAGCTATTAATTATCACGAAATAGCAATAAATAAAGTCTAAAGTACTAGCCCTCAGGAATACTTAAGATGATTTTATTTTAAAGATATATATATATATATGAATAAGTTATATAATTAATAAATAGATTAAATTGAATAAATGGATATGTGTTACAATAAATTAAGCTATACATTATTAACTTGACGCATCTTTTCTTGAACTGCCCATAATAATTTGTAGTGTTGAGTGAGTTCTGTTGCCTTGAGGCAGGTTTGTAATATCATTCAATAAATTAAATATAATAATTCAAGATAAAAGTTAAAGAAATCTAGTCTCAATGAGAAAATTATCGTTAGAAGATGCTTATAGTATTGCTGAGTCTCGTAGAAAATCTTACACTCTTAAATATATTAAGCAATATGCATATAATAAGAATGGTAAATGCCTTTCCAAAAAATATATTAATTCTGATACTCCATTACTGTGGTGATGTATTAAAGGCCATGAATGGACTGCTCAATTTAATAATATAAAAAATAGTTTTACATGGTGTCTATTTTGCTGTAATAAGTTTAAACAAGAAAATTTATGCTGTAAAATTGTATCAAAATATCTTGGTCCATTATCAGAGAATCGCTGGCCTAATTTCTTAAAAACACCAGAGCATAAATTGGGATTGCAACTTGATATTCCTTATTATAATTGTGGTTTTGCTATAGAAGTACAGGGGCAACAGCATGAAAAATATCACGAATTCTTTCATAGAGGAGATCCTAATAATTTTGTCTGACAGCAAAAGCGGGATCAACTCAAGAAAGAATTATGTGAAGAAAATTAGATCGTTTTAAGATATGTCTGGTATTACAAAAACCCATATATAGTTATCCCAGAGCATCTTCGAGAATTAGGTCTTATAGAATAAACTTAAAACTTTAAATATTCCACGATTAAGCAATAAAATCTCATGCACATATTCTCTATTTTATTTTTCTGATACCCACACATGCATATGCACAATTAAAGATAAGCCTGATGTGGGCATTGGTAAATACAAAAAAAAATAAGAACATGAACCAAGTTCAAAGTATTATAGATTGCAGTGCAGTGTCAACAAATAGGATTATTATAAAAAATTAACACACTACATATTCATTATCTTGGCTGACTTTTCAAAACTATCTGCTAAATTTCATAAAGATCAATGATGAAATTACCATCAAGAATTGCAGGATGAGGATAAGAAACCAGTGGAATATATCCAATAGCTGGAATAGGTGGGTCATAAAATACATCACTTATCGGAATATTGATCTGATATGCTGGATTACCCGGAGAATTACACTTAGTAGGTTGACTACTACCTTTTTGCACAGTCCCAAAATGCCACTATTTTTTAGACATATACATGTAAATATCGAAAAAATAAAATAAACAGAATATCCAAACAGTTTAACATTATTTTTCCAGTTGGCATTCCCTGTCTCCATAATTTAGCCTAATATTTAAAAAGTTTTTTAGAATATCAACTATGAAACTATAAAATAATAAAACAGTCAATAGATACATACCTTCATTGATCGATTAAATTTTCCATGTGTATTTCGTGTAGTTCACAAATCATAAAGCTTTATTCCTAATACACATCTCACATACTGCTGACTCATCCAAAGTTCACACTTATTTTTTAATCCACGGTAACTTTGACTAACTGCAACCTCACATACTATTCTAGCATGAGGATTCCTCTACAAAAGTATAAGTATTAGAAAATTGTATACAAAACAGATAATGATAATGTATACCAAATTCAATGCACCCTTGTGTCGCTTGGAGGAGGTCCAAGTCCAGTATTGGGAGGTCTTAGAATGTATGCCTCATCCGGACATACTGCAATATCTGGTGCAATCCTAAGTCCATTTGCATTTGGTGAAGGATGAACTATAAAAAGGATATAAGATATTAGAAAATCCATAAAAGCCAAAGATCAAGCAAGCTTGAATTTTCTTACGTGGTTGACCCGAAACGATTATTGGTGGATTAATAATAACGCCACCATTTGGAATTTTGAAATAATCTTGCAATAGTGCAACAACATCTTCATGTTCTTGTGTGCACATATCAATAATAAAAACGTTGCCGTTATTATATTCAAGCTTGTACCCAGATAGTTCATGGCTTTCAAGAAATTTGTTGTAGTTTTTTATCGATATATTGGAACCAATCTTAAAAGGTAAACTGCAATTCATATGAGCTAACACTAAGTGGAACTTAAAGTAAAGGATCACAGTTCTATGATAAAATCATGTTACCTATTCTCCTCCATAGGTTTCTTTGGAAATTTTGGAAGTCGGAATTGTTCTTGAAGCTTCTTAGTTAAATCACGAAACATTTTGAAAAAAGTTTGAGAAAAAAATACGAAATGGTTTTGTAGAAAATGAGTCCCGAATTATTACGTCAGATATTCGGGTTATCAATCACAAGTCACGAGATATTTGAAAGGTAAATCGGCACGGGATCAAGGAAATAATTTACGTAATCGCGGTTTAAATACATTTCGGTAGGCAAACATTTAATAAAAGCAATTTTAACCACGAAGTAGTAGAGCTTTATTTTTTGCTTCGCAATTATACAGTAACTAAACGAAATCTAACTTCCCTCCTCATTTATAGATTCCAGTGGCTGACTACCTCCTCCCATATCGGGCATACTAATATCACTGTCATTTTGTGATGCGGATATATTAAGGGCTGAGGTAATATTTGTCAAATCAGATGAAAAATCGTATGTCGTATCATCTAAATTTCCATCCAAATCTCCACCTGTATCATCTACGTTATGACCCGAATTTCTACCTACATCATTCGCGTTATGTCCTGAATCTCTACCTGTATTATTTTCAACCAAAGGCTGACTTATGCTATTATTTGCATCATCTCGATTACTATTCTCATCCCTTCTAGGAACTCTTCGGGTGGGTGATGCGGATCGATGTCTTTGATTGGTAGTAGATTCACGACGACTCATACTTGGAATTGATGATACTTCATAGGTTGGCGGTGGAGTACGGTTACGGTGGCGTCTTCTGGCAGATGTGTTTGCACTATGCATTAAGTCAAATGCTGTTTCTTTATTCCACGTGTAATGTAATTTTACTAGTTAGTATATTTGTCATTAATAGCGGAGCTAGTGTCAGTGGCAGAGCCACGAGTCTTTGACTCAAGACACATAGATTATAACATATTCGGTGAACTTACCCTGTCTCTCCCAAAAACGAGAACGAAATTCTTCAAAATATCGCTCACCAGTTCTGCTTCTCTTGCCAGTTCTGCTCCCAGCTATGTATTGATACATCAACTAGTAAAATTTCATTATAAAGTGAATTATATATGCTATCGAAAAATGTATTTCCTTGGTATATGGGTATGAAATAAACACTTACGTTATGATCTCTTACAAGATGTTGAAATTTATTCTTACATTGATATCCTGTATAGGTGATTCTAAATTGTTCATTGATTGTATTTGTGATACTATTCCAAAAATCCATCCTACTATGGTGTGAACGGCCTAAAGCCATCAAGTATTTTAAATTGCAAAGATTCTACATATAAACATGTAATCATAAAAATAAATGCATTGCTAGATAGTCTTGGATAAGATCTATAAAGCAATGCATTTTTTTTATAAAATATATTAGTAATTTATTAAGTAGTTAGAATTTTTCTTCGGTCACTTCTAATAGAATCTAATATAAAATTAGAGAAATTTTCAGCGCTAGAGCTCACGTATTATCACGTGAATAAGATGATTACTGCATCAAATCTTTCTAAATTTGGAATAACTTTTGGACTTTCTCAAGCTTTAATTAATCCATTGGCTAATTCTTTTTATTTATCTAGTGCCAAATAATTGATTTTTATAATATAATAAACAAGAAGCATGCTTGATGATATCATTGATTTATTTAAAATCATTAACCATTTTTTATTTAAAGAGACATTAAACTCCTCAAACTCTTCTTTGCTAAACCAATCAAACAGCCAAATTAGCTTGATTATTTCATATGGCCAAACTCTTCCAAAACACTATCAGGAACTCTATGATATGATCTATACTTTTTCACGGCAAAGACAGCAACTTTACCCAAAAGATCTTGTTCATAAGCACTCATATATTGAGCAGATCGATATGCATAATGACGAATCTTGACCAGAGTAACTGATTCTAATACCTGCAGAATAATTTTCTTGAGACTCTTGAAAGAGTAATCATAATGCAGATGCGAGTACTGCTTTGCCTTTCCCCAAAATGATTCAATAAAATTGAGCTCGTAATGAAACTTTGAGTAAAAAATACACATATGGCCAGCTACTTCAATGACCTCCTGCAGATGGTTCTGTTAAGATGCGAAATTAGGCTGTTGACCAAGAATACCAGTTATGCAACATTATAGTTTCATTAGATCAAAAGTATGTGATTTGCAAGCATCATATTTCTTCGTCAAATCTTCCACCCACAGGCCATGCTCTTTGAGAATTCATCAGATATTCTTTGGTTTGATTCCACCATCAGCATCAATAAATGTCAGAACATGACGAGAACTATCAGGTATCTTGCTATCATGAAGAAGTGATTGTTTGTCACCATCCTTCAAATTCATCCATGAAATGATCAGGGCATCATTGGCATATGCACTGTGATTACAACTATTATCAAACATGAAGAGTGTAACTTTACTGGGATGTGTTCTCTCAAAAATCAGAATAGCTCTGTCAACCACTTGCTTTATAAGATCTTGATTTGTCCACCAGCCATCTCAATTAGAACCTGGATATATAATAACACAGGCCTCAGTATGCAAAAGCCAATTATCATCAGGAAGCAAGTCGTTCACAGCTTGATTCTCGGTTGAAAGGTGAAGATGTTCAATTGATTCACAAATAAAATTACTTACATGGATACTAAGATCTTGTGACTTGTATCAGAGCTAGTTTTCTTTTGCTGAACCCCAGGTCTTGATGATATTATCATTGGTATAAAAAATTGATTCATCATGGATAACCAGAACGAGCTCAAGAACATTGGGTGGAAGTATTGATAAGATAATTTGATTCATATTCTCTCCCTTGTATATTGCAATCCAAGACTATAAATTCATTATTTGTTCTAAGAATTGGTTTCAATAAGCCACCACATTATCACGCTCATGGTCATCAAAGTAAATATTTTTTGAATAGTCCTTATAATCCCAGCCAAGTTGATGTAGTCACTCCTGAGTCATTATTTTATTAATCTTTCTTTTTGTCTTGATCCCAAGATCAGATAGAGTCTCATTCTCAACAAACTTAATGAATTCGTGAATGATTGCTATGAACTTGTTCGCATGCAAATATTTAATGATATGCATCTTAAAAACTTCATCAGACAGGAGCGACATAGTTTTTGAGTGATAGCCATGACGTGATGTGAGAATTTCATCTTTACTTGACCATTGATTAGTCCACGAACAAATAACCCACCTATATCTTGAACCCCAATTAACACTGCAAGCAAGAAGATTACTAGTTGATAGTTTAGAGAATCCTTGATCTTGAACGAGATAGAGAAATTAGCTCATTATACCAAGTCATACGTTAGACTTTTTCTTTAGCAGAGCATCAAGAGATGCCAAAGTAAATGTATTCTCGTCATTACTAGAATTAACTGTCTTCTCAAACAGAAGCTTATCATCACTAGAATTAACTATCTTCTCAAATAGAAGCTCGTCATCACTGGGATTAGCTATCTTGATAGGAAATCAATTAGTAATTTTATTAGAACCAAAAGCTGTCTTTCTTAAGATCACTCTTTTATTACGCAATATTAATTTAGCAAAATCTTTGTAAACTGGCTTCCATCCCTTCATTATCCATATATCTGATTGCCTTGTATTCTTGATGAGTTCCTTTAGCGCACTTTATTTCAATTCTCCCAACTCTTCTATAAATTAGCCATCATTTAAAGGCTCATTTTCACTTTCCATCTGAATAGCATTATTGCTTGATTCATCGGTATCCAATACTTCCTCCTTCCATTTTGACTTGGTATCGTTCTAGTACTTTTTAACAGTCATTAAGCAGTGTCTAGTATGTTTACTTCATTTAGACATGAGGAAGAGAAAATACATCTTAAGAAGGGTTAATAATATAACGAAAAAGACTTATATCATAGAAAAGAAAGGTAATAATATAAGGAAGAGATTTATTTATTATTTTATAATTATGTAGTGAAGAAAACATTGCCTTCTGAACAAGTCTTTTTATATAGCAAAAGAGAGAAATAACTTACCTTACGAGTCTTTAATATGAGTCTCCTAAATAATATTTAAAAGTCTTCTAAATAATTTTTTAAGAGCTTAATTGCTTCTGATATATTTTCTGACATGATGCATCTATCACATGATCATATTATAATATATGCATTCCAAATTTCAGCGGTGGTGCAGTATTTGATATCTTTAGACTATTCGTACCATACTTCCAGGAATATCATGATACTCAGTATTTTTGTTTTTTCTCTAATCGATTAATATGTGTAATTAATCATTGGTTCACATTACAAAAATTTCACCGTATATACTTATGATATGTTATTTTTCATAGAATTATATAAGAAAAAAATCTGTCATATCTACATCACATCTTCACCGTACTAATATTATATCTTAACTATGAGTAATAGAATATCGACAGAATCAAAAAGTATGATATCAATCAATAGCTCTTGCTATGAAATAAGGAATACTATCTCTAAGTTTGTCTTTAAGCTCCATATATTCTTTGAAGTCCATATCATAATATCTACTTTCAGTACAATTTGTATGCCAATACTTTTTGATTATAGATCTGTGATATTCTCTATAAATATATTTCCGATCAACATAAACAAGCTGATCACAACTATAACATATTGCAATATTTATTTCAAAAGCACTACCAAGATCACCTTCCCATAAATATATCATCTTCCTAGCAATCATATATCACTTATGAGTTTTAGATAAATAATTATTTTTTTTATAATTCATCAACTGATTCCAGATTCATTTCATCTAATCAGATAGAGTTTCACCTTTATGGATTACTGGAAATTAACAGTTATTTCTCCATTCAGTATCACTCAAAACTGGATATTTATCAGTATAGACCATATTTAACAATTAAGTAAATTATAGTATTTTTAGAGATTATGTCAAATTTAGAGATTTAGTTCTATTAGATTTAATAACTTAATACATTATTAATATATGATTCAATTTTTGTGCAATTAAGTTCTTGAACCATATCTGCAAGAGTGACATATTTTGGAGGATTTTTGAGTGATATATGATATGAGAATGAGAGAGATGAAGATAAGGGTATAGTTTAGAGTGTTAATTTTAAAGGATCTGTTTGTAGTAATATTTATGATTTGTGTCATTTTTGCGATATGATAGATTTTTCAGAAAAGTGCACTTTATATATTAAAGTATGAAATGGTAAAGTCTCTCGAGTTTAAGTATTGATATTTATATAAAATCAACTGTGTAAATATTATCTGGTTATGAAACAACCTCTATGAATAAAAATCTATTTCGAACATATAGAATCTATTTTAGGTATGAAATCTATTTCGGATAGATAAGATCTATTTCGGGTGTATTACTATGTGATAGATGATCAATATATTGATAATGGAACACACAATAATACGATTGACATTTCTGGATCAGAAATATGCATAATGCATAAAAAAATTCAAGGATTTACCACTAGCATCTGTTATTATAATCAATTAGGGTAAGGTATAGAAAAAAATATATAACCACTATGTAATGATATTCAGTAAGATATGTTAAGATACTTCAAGAAGGTAAATGAGTTGTTTTTTCAATAACCTCATGCAAAAAAGCATGAGCTTTGGCAAACCAAGTTTTCAAATTGCAAAAACCAGATGGCTCGTATATTTTATCACGAGTTTATTTTGGCCAAATAGATAGGAAGTAATAGCAGGATGACTTTGCTGATATTAATACTACTTGGAGTGGTCTTGATTATGTGGTTTATACAAGTACTGTAGAAGCTGGTATCTCTTTTAAAATTTCCAATTATTTTGATGCAGTTATAGGAATTAGTAATATTACTATAGGAGTACATGCTGAAGCTTTTGCACAAATATTTTATTGAGTTTACGATTATCTATATCATATTATTTCTCTCTATAATAGTAAAAAGCCTAGTATTTTTAAAGAACCAAATCATGATCTTATTCATGCTGAACTTTCTGCTTTAAGATCTGGCAACTTGCCAACTGCTATAAAAGGATATCATAAATGGAATAAAATTAATAACTATTATATACTTGATTCATCTCTAGCCGTAGAGACTTATATTGAGATCAAATATCAGAGATGCTTATTGGCTAAATACTTTCCTGAAATTCTTTGCAGTCTTATTACTAGTACTGGAGTGATACTCGAGTTAATTTTAGCAGAAGGTACCAAAGTTACTAGGAAAGAAGTTTCTTGTA